TCCGTAAAACGAAGAACGGAAGCAGCAATGGGCCGTCGCTGTTAAGCGGGTGACTGAGCAAAGCAACCTGCGGCAGCCTATCGTTGGTGCCCGTTTATGCGTGGCCCGTTTTCTTACAGATCAGCACAACATGTTATCTCTTTCATCAGGTTGGGGCCGCGCAAAAATACGATTTCTACCAGAGACGTTTGACGCCCAGAAAAATGCCTCGGTTAATCCTCGATGAGGTGAGCAGGCCTGTCGTACAAGGGCATTCGCCAGAACGCGTGATGCGATCACGCAGGCAGTCAGTTCATCGCACGACGTTTCGTAGACAAACCGTTTCATCGACAGCAGCGGCTCTGAGATGTATTCCTGTGTTCCTCTCAAGATTTACAGCTTGGTCGCTTTTCACAATGTGAAATAACTTGAGAACAATCACTAAAATTCGGCCAACAGATGTCAACTCATAAACATGATCCTCAGCTTGTTGTAATATAAATAAATATACGCAAGCTGGCAGCAGGCAGCACCTTCATCTTGACATATAACAAAGCGGTCGTACGACCCTACGTAGCCCATAGCGAAATCGATTCACGTTTATGCATGCTTTCTTGCTCGATGGTACCCGTGACGGACAACTTAGTTGAAGTGCAAAAAACACGAGAGTGTTCAAAAGAAAGGGTTCACGCGTAATCCGATACGTCGTCGAAACGAACTTCTGTACGGAAGTGGCGTTTCAATCGCGCGAGTAAATATACGCCAAAGCTCCGATCGGACATTTCAGTTAGCCGCGTCCTACAGTCTACATTCGCACCTATTTTATTCGGTGATGTGATACAAAGTAACCATAAAAATAAACAAAATCTAATCAAGAACGCTGGCTCAAAAGAAAAACAGATTAACTAACCTAGGCTGAATTTTCATGCGAACGATTCGGAAAGTGCAACGCGAGTGTAGTTGGCCGCCGGCCGCACTCGCTCCGCGCTTTCGTGGTCGTTCTCGATGCTTTTGCGTACCGATCAGTGTTGCGGAGTTGCCACTCCGGAGTTGGAATGATTCCCGGAATCATTCCGCATTTTCACGAGTCTGGAATGGAATGGGAATGGAATGGGAATGGGATTAGGTGCCTTTTGCCCGGTATGGAATGGAAATGGAATGGAAACGGTTCTTCTTTTTTTTTTTTAGTGTTTACGGTCAGCTAAACCGAGCCAGTCAGCGAGTCAGTTGCTCAGAAATAAAATTAGCGGGAAACTGCTAGCCCGCGTGGAGCCCTAACAGACTTATACGCCAAAAAGATGCAATACAAAAAACAAGCGTCAAAGCAAAGAGCAAAGGGGGAAAGGGGGGTAACGTGCCGCCTTTCACGGACGCGCAGGCGTCGGGCTTCGATGGCGTTACACGAGAGCGAAACAAGAAACCAAGCACCGATCAAAAAAAAAAAAGGGAGCGGCAAAGAAAGAAACCGCCATGCACAACTCATCGTCCTTCTTGTCACGCTTTTTTTGTTATTGTTACGACGGTTTGTAGAACGCACGAACGCACAGGCTGAGATTTGGGAGCGGAAGCGACTCATAACTCGCAGAGCTCTGATAACTCGTTGACTCGGGCGCCGTCGAAAGATGATCAGGTATTGTTTTCTTATAGTTCAAGGCGCGTTGTTTAGCAGGCAGCCAACCCTTCTGCCTTCCACGTTCATTCCCGCGCACTCCTTTGAAGGGCGAAATGTGGGTTTGCTTCGGCATTAAAACAAAGCGAGATTCACTTCTCTCTTCTCCTCTTGCGCTTTACTCCGTGGCTTGTTTTTTATACTTCATTTGTAGTGTAAGTCCGCCTATTACTTGATCTTTGTTCCGATGCTTGTTTTCTGTGTTATATGTTTTAGTGGGATGGTGTTACAAGCAAGCTAGCGGATTCCCGCTCATTTCCTTTGACTTTAGTTTCTGCATACTTCGTTTCACCTTGCGATGAACCGCTGCGGACGCTACGAGTCACCCTAGGCAATCCAGCACCGTGAGCGGGACTGCAGGGTCACGCGACACTCAGAAAGCACTGGATTGGTTTCGATGGCTCTCGTACTGTCTGTTGAGGTCCATCGTAAGTTGAAGTAGACTATCGTCACCGCTCTTGGTGTGACCGAACTGACTAGACCTGCAGAAAGATCGTCCCGCGCCAGACGAGTCGCGACCGTTGCTGTGAGGGCAACTGAAAAGGAGAGCTGGGTGCTAGCTGGCACTGAGGTTTTGGCTTCCGCGCGTCTCGGCTGTCCGGTCTGCATTCGTACTCCTTGTCCTGGACCCTGTTTGAGGCGGCGAGGAGTCAGTTGGACGGTGGTGTTGAGGGGAGACGGGGAATGGTCAATTCGAACGGTGCGGTATTACCCCGTTAATTGTATCTTGATGTGAAGAGCTTTGTCAACGCTGACTTCCCGACCCGTCGCCACAACGCGAACAACCGACACCGAGATAGAAGAATGAATCGGTTGGAACCGTCTGCTGCCTGAACCCGCCACTTGATCAGCGCGAAGAGGAACATCACAATTCGGACGAGAAGACAAGATAAATACACATCGAGTCATGGCATCGTAGAAGACATTTTTCTATATTAGTCGCGAAGAAAATACACAAGCTGCACGCTGAAAGTTGTGCAACGAAACTATACATGGTGCAGTCGGCGTATATCATCGAACTTTATTCGCCATCTGTTGAGGAAACACGAGAATGAGTATGCGCAGGGTGGAAATGGGCAGGCGATACGAAATATCGAGATTCGTAAAGCAAGCGTGAACTGCGTTTTAAAACAGGTTTCGAGACATGGTCTATACGGTCCCTCGTGCTGCGCCGCAGAGGTTGCATTTTGTCAGAGGATGTGTTCTTGCCGCTGTGCATGGAGTCGCTTCCAGCAGTGTACTAACTCTGTTTCACCTTATGATGTACCGCAGGAAAGGCTACAAGCGCGAGCTCCTTGCTCAGGGCACATCTCAGCGGCACAAGGTCTCGTGCGTTAAGAGTAGCTCCCAACGCTATGAGCTCGCGCTTCTAGCCTTGTCTGCGGTACAACATAAGGTGAAACGGAGTATAGCCGTGTTGCTATATTTGAAGAATACAGTAATATAGCTCATTCCTGCGTCACGCACGAACTGGATATTTTTATGGTATTATCAAACAAAGACCGTGGCCGCGTATGTCCTAAAAGTCAAATGCAAAAAAGTTAAAAAAAGAAAAGAAAATGAGTGAATTTAACTGTTTTGCTGTTTGTTCCGAGCCACGTGGTCGCGAGACCGATGTCTTAAACAAGCATCGACATATCAAGGGGCTTTCTCGATGTTTGCAGTACATTGTAAATAAACACTTTCTGCCACCAGCGGTCCGCGTAGTAAAAATCAGTGCTTTCTTGAGGAATTTAGCATTTTTTTTTAAATTGTCTCTGCATTTGATAATGTCAGCTTTATGCTGCTTATGCCGGCAACAAAATGTAGCTTTCAAGTGCCAATTCTTACGTTTAGGAATTAAAGGAATGGAATGGAACGATCCAGCCATTCCAGGAGTGGGAATGGGCTCAGTGTCTCCATTCCGAGGAATTGAAAGGAATTGAATTATCGAAAACTCTAATTCCCTGGAATGGAATTGCAATGGAATGGGGGTGCCCATTCCGCAACACTGGTACCGATGCCTAGTTAACATATCCGTTGAAGTAACTTCAGACAATCAGAAATTCGTTATTCACCCAGCAACGGATGCTGGTCGCTCGAATCGATCGGGAACATCCGCACACGCTTCCATAATCGGCATGGTGCTGTGTTAGCTGCTAGTTACGAACCGGAAATGAGAATACCCATGGTGCTTTGCGGCTGCAACCAAACACCGGTCACCAATTCACCAAGGAAATTCGGACTTCCCCATAAAGCGCGGCTCGTTCAGCACCGCATCTATAGAGGAATTAAAGGTAGGGTCTTAATAGGAGTTGACTATGCGAGTTTAAGTTTAAATTAATATTCATGTAGGTATATAACTGAATATAAAAAATACAACACAACAACGGAAAAAAATATACTCGGGCCGAAAAAGGTTTCATAAAAATAGTTGATCGATGATTCCGTGCAGAATGTTATCCAAGTGCGACAATACAAAAAAAGTCGACAAAGTGCGTACAGAAACATATCGCACTCTTATCAAGTCCACTCCCGTCGCTCGTGACACAAGATTCAGGTGTAGCTTTCTTATCTGATATTGTAAAGTTGCAAGTTTCGAGTTTATTAATCGATGATCCGCGCAGAAACGTGGTGTGGGCGACATCGGTTACTTGCAAACCATACACAGAAAGCCGAGGCGAAGCGAACCTGCAGAATGTGGCTGTAGGAGGTCGTTAGGCAACCCAACAAAGAAATATACGACGTAAAAAAAAAAAAACAGTTTTCATTCCACTCGTTTCAAACAGTTAATGATTTAAGACGATATTCGTTAGAGAAAAAAAAAACATTGTACACAAAAAGACAAGTTAAAATATTGTTGTCAGATACACGACAGTGCGCAAGCTTGCTAATTAAGCAATATCTACTGTGAGGTACTGGGACTGAAGACGAATAATGTTAAGAAAAGTAATAACATCGCCCCGTGCGATGATATGTATATTCGTCGGTCGCTATAGGTTCAGGGATTTGATTCATGTTCAAAGTACACAACCGGCGCGACCCCAAATTTCTCACAGTTGGTCTGGTCTCCGGCCTCAAGAATAATAAAGCATACAAAGAACTTGTGGTCTATGGCTTTGTCACTATGCTTGAAGCCACATTTCTGCGGGGCTCAAGTTAAAGCTACAGGCGTCCGTGAGCTTGCTCATTTTTAGCGTCAATCAAAGCTGTGCACACCCACCCTTTTCTTGCAAAATGTACAAAAATTTGTCCCTGATAGTAGCGCCAGATTGAAAAGTGCACGCTCTCAAAGGGGATAGTCAAAAGACAGACTAGCTTATGACGTTTGCCAGAAAAGATGCACACTCCCAAGAAAAATAGCTACAAGAGAAGAAAAAAACACTACACTTCATTCTTGACCCTGCGTGTTTTGTTCCTTTCCCGGTCTCCCTGATGCACCGCGTAGCAGATGACTTGCACGGCAGCAGCGCCTTCACTTTCTATCGCCACTTCTGAGCGAGTTAGAAATGACGATGATGGGCTCGACGAAATTCCCTATCTTGGTCGTGCCCGGCGGCAAATCTGCAAGGGCGGGTAGCGACTTGCAGTCCTGCGATCCCCGGGAGAAGGTGCCGCACACCAGGCTGAGCACTTGTCCGAAGATGTGCTCCATGGTGTTGGTAAGGAACTCCAAGGCCTCGGAGTCTTCGCAGCTCCCCACGGAGTCTTCGATGCAGTCTAACAGCTCGTTGTAGTAGCTGTGGGAAATCGGCCACAATGGCCAATGTTTATGTCAGACCAATCAAATTACCTAACTGCACTTCTTTAGGAACCATCAAGACTCAAGGGACCATTTTGTTTTAAACTAACAACGCAATTGCGAAAGAAAGCGAAGTATGCACTGCCGGATGGCTCCAATGAACTTAGCGTGCAGACGAGCAGCGTCTCTGTGGCTACCTGTCCTATAGGCAACATTATGCCCCGTGTATTAATACCCTCTCCTCTGTTTCTCATTTCAGCCGCCTGGCAGCGCTGTTTTCGCTGTACCCTTGGATGAGCGAATGCTCACCTCTTCTCTCCTTTTTGCGTCTTCTCCACTGAGTGGCGTCACCTCTATTAGAAATGCGAAAAGGTTTCGCGAGCTTGTCGGAAAACTGCGAGAGGATCACACTTCGGTATTTGGTAAGTGTCGCCCCTAGTGTGAAAATTACAATAGGAGAACTTCCTTTGCTAAGGCTTCCCTGCAGTGGCCATGCTTGCAGACGACAGCATGTCGGTTGCGAACTTACCAGCAGCCGTAGTGAATCTTCTCCTTTTTGGGCGCAAACTGAGCCGCCTTCTGAAAATTCTCGAAGACTTTCTTCATGCAAGCGTTCAGCTTCAGGCCGGCTCCGTTCATGCACTCCACGCTGTTCAGGTACTCTGTGAACACAGGAAGCGCACGGATTAAACCAGTGCCTCCAGGGGAATAACAGACTTAAGCACTAACGGGTTCAGTCATTCAAACGCTCGACGCAAATCTTCAATTACGTCTGAAAGGCATCAGAAGCGCCAAAAGGCAGGTACAGGGTAAAGACGGTGATAACGCAAGGCGCCTTGTGTTGTCATTTTAACTCTGTCCCTTGTTTTGTGTGTGTGTTTTAGTGTGTAATGACCAACTAACACAACTCGCAATTTTGTTATTAAAAAATAACGTTCACAAAAATTCCGGTTTCATTTTACAACATAAAGTGGTTCATGACGGAACACCTTGCTACGAGATCTTTGTCCGTCCGTCCACGTGCCTACGCGTATACCCTACGGTAGGGCCCGCACAGCCCAACCGGTTTGGTTACCGCTACAACGTAAGCAAAACAGCGTATACGTGCACATAGTCGGAAGTAAATCAATAAAGACGCTTTACACACGCGCCCGTTTGCAGCCGCCACTGCTGACCTTGTCTTGTCTCACTGATATGCCGAGCAACTGAAGCGGACGCTGACCAGCCTCCACAAAGGCCTAGACTGAGGAGAAGGACACCGTAGAATCTAAAAGGCCAATAACCTGTCATGTCGTGGTAATGACGAAGCGAACGGAATAAAAGAAAACAATAACTGGAGGTCGGCTATGAAAACATGGTTAAAGTTGCGCACAAAAAGACAGGGACAGTGGCAAGAAACACGTAGACGGGAGACAAACGCGCTGACAACTCACATGTCTTGGAAGAAAGAAGAAAAGAATAAAAAGATGAAGGGATTTGTTTCTTCCTTTCTTCCAGTACATGTGACCTTTGAGTGTGCGCTTGTCTGTCGTCTACTTGTTTCTCTGTCCTCGTCTTTTTGTGCGCAACGTTAACCTTGTTTACTCGCTACCAACTCGCCCAACTAAACACCTTAGTACAGTGGGTTATGGCAGCGCCCACGCGCAGCTGCTGCAAAGAATACTTTGTTTCACCTTAGGTCCAAACGCAGCCGACGCTACGAGCTGATGGGACCAATCAGACAGCTACGAGCTGATGGGACCATGGTGCTCCTTCTGTTTCTGTGCGGGTTCTATCAGGCTGAATCAATCATAAACAGAAAAAGCCCAGTGACTTGCGCTTTTGGCGCTTCGCTTGATTGGCCTGATTACCTCGGAGCGTCGGCTGCGTTTTCACTTAAGTGAAACGAAGTATATATACTCGTCTCCCACAACAAATTGAACCCACCGCCTCTTGGTCCCAGGGGTTCTAAGTTTGACATTTGGCGAGAGAAAGTCGGTCATATCGCCCACCGTCGCGATTGGCCCTGGCACTGGCCAATCGCTTCGAGCCCCGAAAAATGTCATTCTGAAGAGTGTTACACCTTTTTTGAAGGAGATCAAGGCGGTGTATACCATATACTAAGTGCAAGTTCGTCTGCTTTTTGCGCACCCCGTGCGTTTGTTTACCCCCTACCTCAAGCAATGACGGAGCGCGTTTTAATGCCTCGTCATCGAGCATTTCCTGGGCGTTCTTTATGCTGCCCGTTGATTGGCTGACCCTCCTTACTTTCGGATGCACCAAAGACGCTTTTCGGAATACCTTGCTCTCCGTGTAGACCTGCGTGCTCACTGTAGGAAATGGCACAATTTGGCAGGCGTGTTGGGCTCAGCCTGAGGGTGTCTTAGTGGGGCCCGTTTACACGCCTGCGTATGCATACGACACGTGTCTTCTCTCTTGCACCGAAAGAACACCAGAGAGCCTAGATTTAAAAGAGGGAGCAACATGAACCATGAAAAGCGTTTCCAATTTAATGGCAAACGCCTCCTTCTTCGTATATTTGTACATGCGCATGCGTTTTGCGTTGTCATCTGAAGAGGAGAAAAGCATGGGGAGAGGTGGAGGCGCTTGCAAACGATCAACGCTTTTGTCTCCCCTCATAAGCCACGTGACCCCGATCGAGCAGTCGGAAACACTCTCTAATCGAGGCACGCTAGAAAACAACCTGGCACGCTCTTTTGCGGTTGTTGCGAGATCAAATTTACATGCTATCTATAAAAAATTCTCGCTTATAACATTGTCAAATTTATTTTCAAGCCAAGAAAGAGAGGATGATGCGCGAAAAAACTAGAAAATTTACGGAAATACTAAGTATTGTACGGTTACCCGATAGGTGGCACCAGTGTGTTCTCTCGTCGTAAGAGATCCCAACAAGTTGTAAGGCACTCGGTCATAAGAAGTCGCAAGTTTGTGAACCAGCCTTAAAAAAACGCTAAACAAAAAAATATTTTATACATACCTGGTTAGGACAGGCATAACTCAACATAATTGTTCCTCAAAAAAAATTTTTTTTTCCCAATACTATTTTTCTTACAATACGAATTTATTGATTTTAGGTCGAAACCGAAATTGTACCTCTGTGGGATGACAATAACGCTTGTATCCAGCTAGTGTGCTCTCTGAAGTGCAGCGAACTCGGAGCGCACACTAGTTGGCCACAAACGCCATCATCATCATCCCACAGGGGTACAATTTCGGATTGGCCTGCAAACAAAAAAAAAAAGGCATTGTAACATAAATATTGCGGAAAAAAATTATTTTCGACGAACTTTCTTTTTTAGGCATCCCTGACATAACTAAGTAGAAAGTGTTTTGTCTTGTTTGTTTTTTTTTCTTCCCAAATTTAGTGTTTTTTTTTTTTTTTTTTTAAGACGTCCTTCTATTACGGTTTCTAGATTCCGATATTTAACATTCTATGTGGTGATGTGGAAGAGGCTGATGGCAACATAGAACCACTATCTCCTTCACAACCCCCGAAACGACACTTGATATCTTCTGAACTAATATCGACGACCGCTTCTTAAATAACCCATTTCATGAATCATTCGTGGCACTTAAAAAATAAAGGTCACCGCCGATTCTTTTTTCGTCATCCATTTACTTGGATTTGCTTAGCTGTCTGTTTTTATGTTTACCTTATTTATTATAATGCAATGCGGGGCTTCGGCGACGAAGTGGTATATACAATAGTGCTAATAATGTTAATACTATAACATACATTTTTACTATAGCCTTTTCGTCTTCCTAATATATTTGCATTGGGAGTTGGAGACATCAGATGTGCGAAAGCTGTCTACTAAAAGTGTTCAGTTGTCGCTTTCTACGGCTGAATTATTGCCGAATGTTTCATGGGACTGCAGAATAATGATGTAAATAGTAGTCAATACATTAAAATTGTTTTCTTTCTTTAGAAAGTTTAACGCTCTAAGTGGACTGAACAAGTTTCAACGTTTATTGCCCTACGCTTTTTTTTTTTTTTTAAGTTCTCGTTCACTGCCTTTTCCTAAACAAAGTTTTCCAGGTTCTGCTACTTTGAGTAGTTTAGTTGCTGTTCATAAAGTGAGAAGAGTTCGCTTTGGAAGTCGCACGGCTCGTTCCTCGCCGGTATTCTTAACGAGGCAGGAAACTTCTTTCCGATAACATCGTCGCACTTCCTTCGTTAAAATCACAATCGTTCTTTTTTTTTTTTTTTAGGGGATGGCTATTGGCACATTTTCTAATCGCCTGATTCAAATGGGCGGATGGATCTGCCAGGAAACAAATAGCCGTGAACCGATCTACGTCGGTCGGTCCCTTCACAACGTCCTTTACTTGAGGTTGACCTCGCCGCTCCCCGCCTTCGATCGTCCTTCACGAAAGAGGCGACGACGTCAGCATCCCATTCATGTACGTAATGAGCACGGTTTAACACTGTCCATGGTTGTACTGCGTCCCACCAGCGAGTACTAACGACAAGGTGACTGCAGCGTTACGTAACAGCGTGCTTCGGTCGATACCGAAGCACGCTGTTACGTAAGTTTCAAAGTAAGAGAGAAATGAACAGTCGAGGACACGTCTCTAACACAGCTAAAGACAAGTTTTTTTGGTCACCCTCTTATATACACTCCACGAACTTCACCAGATAACCTTCTCGGAGGTCGAGAAGGTCGAGAAGGTACTATGGTGAAGTTCGTGGAGTGTATGTAAAAGGGTGACCAAATAAACTTGTCTTTCTCTGTGTTAGAGACGTGTCCTCGACTGTTCATTTTTCTTCGTGGATGAAGAAAGAATAAAACAATTAAAACAGGGACAACACGACCACATCTTTCAACTAGCAACAGACGAGTAAACTTTCAACAGCGAGCAGCCGACTACACCCAGTAGGAGTAGGGGAGAAAAGGAAAGATACGAAACGCGAAGTGCAAGTCAGGGTGGTAGGGTTATCTCGGATTTTAAAAGTTCAACCTCAGTTTTCGTCAAAAGGAGGGAAGGGTTAGACACGTTGGAAGGGTTAGACACGTTCAACCTGTCTAACCCTTCCCTCCTGCTGACGAAAACTGAGGTTCTTCCCTCCTTTTGACGAAAACTGAGGTTGATTTTTTTAAAATCCGAGATAACCCTACCACCCTGACTTGCACTTCGCCGTTTCGTATCATTCCTTCTCTCCCCTACTCCTACTGGGTATAGTCGGCTGCTCGCTGTTGAAAGTTTACTCGTCTGTTGCTAGTTGAAAGATGTGGTTGTGTTGTCCCTGTTTTAATTGTTTTATTCTTTCTTCGTCCATGACTTAAACCAACACGCTCTTCTCCCAAGCATCATTTTTCTTCTACATTGAAACTTTCCTTTTTTCCTGCCTCAGTCTCGGGCTAAGAACAAAACGAAAAAGAAGTCTTTTCTGGAGGCCCCAGAGCAGCGGAAACGTTGTACTAATGGACTTAGCGTCTTCGCATCACTAGTCATTTGAGGACAGCATGACCTACTTTGAGAGCACTTTCTTTGATGCTTTGTAAGGTTCCCTCTACAGGCTTGCTCTATAGCCGCGCATTCAGGGCCGGAATAGCGCCTTTTCTCTAATGAGCTAAGTTCTTTTATGACAAGAAGATCCTATTTAGCGCCCACGATCATTTATCTGCAGCCCTGCAGCCTTGGCATTCCATCCTCATGGCGGTCGAGTTTAAATCAATTTCAATATCAATTCTAATTTTTCGGACCAGAGTACAAAATGGGGGTTCATAGTATAGGGCGAAAAGCTGCAATAATACAGCTTAACGTAACCCTTGCCCATTACATTTTTCAACTTTGCGTGCAAAAAAAGTTACAAAAAACAGGAATTAACAAGTTATATACAATCAATATCCCACAGGTAGAGACAAAAAAAGAAATGTTACAACGCTTTTCTGTTTTCGGGCTTAATGCAAACGCCTTGCTCGTCTAAAGAACTGCATAGATGTGGGTAGTGCGTACTGAAGCATCTCTAAGCCCCTCCAAGATTTCCGCAAGGTAGAACATCCTTTCCTCTACTCTGACATTGCTAAGCCGTAGTGTTGGAGTTTCTGCGACGACAGCAGGATGCCAGAGGGGCCACTGACTGAACACGAGGGCTGTGTCAGCTTTCGGAGGGAACTCGTCCCTAATCGGTGAGGTCAAGAATCTCAGTTGAACACCGAAGCAGCACTCGTGGTACATCTGAGCCCCACGATGGCCTCCGGTGCGTGACGTAGAAAATCGTGCACTATGGCCTTGTTGCTAAGAAGGATCCCGGACGCACGTTTCTCCAGGTCGGTGTCCTCCGTGCAGGTTGCCTCGTAGTCCTCCTGCGCCGCCCTGGTTGCCAGCAGCGACACGACCCGGGGCAGACTCTCGAGGCAGTCCTCGGAAAATTTCTCGGTGCACGCAATCTGGCTCAGGTATGTCCTGCACGAGGCACCCGGGAACAATCAATAGATACGCTAAATATGCGCCGGATGCATGTGACGTAATCGCATCATTGTCATCATTATAACACGTTTACTAGACATCTGTCTAGAAAACGCCTCAGGGTAGGCAGGGAAATAAGGGAGGGGGGAAGTGAAGGTGGGTGATAAGACAAACCATATACCGACCACGGAGGATCGAAAAACATTATCATCATCGTCATTTTACGTTTATTGGGAACATACCTTCTGACCGAACGTGCTGGCGGTCATTTCTACTTTTTCGTACCGGGAAAAACGGATTCGATCGTGCGAAATGTACGCTGCAGAAGTTAAGCACCCGGGAACAAGGCCACCACGATGGCCGCTGATGAAACGTCGGTGCAAGCCATGTATAACTGGACGCCGGAGAAGAATCTACGAGTCCTTAGCGATCTCGTGTCCGCTCATACGCCGCGCCCTCCTGCGTGTGCTCTATAATCAATTACAGTTTGCGAAACGCGGGGCACGGCCAGTCGCCTTATGATGGCTCGTAGCCAATAAAACTGCGACGTCAGCCAATAAGAAGCCCAGAGAACGAACCACGAAGGAAGCTGCGTGGACATAAATAGGCCACTGTCTGCGTCTCTTAATCTCTCAGTGACCATATAGATGCTCCGACTACAAAAGGCGGGAATCCATTTTTTGGGAACCAAGGTCCTCTATAGGGGCCCCGATCTACACGGCGGGACTAAGGGACCGGGACATTGACGCCTGCTGCGATAGGCCAGTTCCGCACCGCTGACCAATCGCAGCAGGCGGCGATGTGCCGGTCCCTCAGATACCGCTTGGTCCCACCGCGTAAATTAAGCCCCCCAGAAGACTATTTATATTACCCTTTTACTTCGAGTCAGACCGCAGCAAACACCTCCTAGATAACAAAAAGCCTTAGGGCTGATAGAGTTGTCATTATCATCGAAGGCCAAGGCTGGGTACACATTGAACACGACGATTGCGTCAAAGTTCGGCTCAAAACTTGGCTCGAAGCCGAGCTCCCGACGCAGCAATCGTTTCCAATCTGTATCCACTAGCGTTTTGCCTTTGCTGGTGACGCAAAAAAAAAAAAAAAATGTCGGCACTCCGGTCTTGTTTTGTGAGCGGTGTTGACGCAGCCAAAGCTACGATTCTAGGAAGTCAGTCAAGGAACGCCACAAGTACATCGTCAAGACGCTCATCGTCTTTGGGAGTTCGTTATTTGACCGACTAAACCTATATCACGCACGTAAGTGCGACGCCGCGATCCTGTATATTTTTGTTTCCTTGTGAGTGATTGTTTAGCCGGTGACACCTGTCTGGTACCTGACTTCTGCGCGAGATTGGTTTAGCCCAGAGAGAACAAGCGCAGTGATGGCGCGCTTTTGGCGCCGCTTCATCGACCCCGTCGAGCGTCGGCTGCGGTCTTTTACCCTGGACATATATCCTCCTCTTTACTCACAAAGCCTGGGAGTTCGACGAAGGAGCCATAAAGTGCCCGGTCGCAGATTTGGAGAGCGAGGATCTGGTATAGAGCATCAAAGAGCCATTTCTCGGGGAGCCTGGAGGTCAGCGCACAGCTTTTGAATCGGTGAGGACCCGAAGCACACTTGTTCGCTCGGCAAAAGAGTGTTTTGGCGTCTCGCCGCAGCGGGGCGCCAGTCAGGTGGCTTTCCTCTCATCCGTTATCTGCCGCTCCACCTTTTCCATTTCGGCGGGCGCTTCTCGTGGCGATCAGCCAGGCTTTGTCAGTATAGGAGGCTATGCTCTGGAGTGTATATACCAACTCAACTCACTGACGTCATGCCAGGTGGTGGCGCTGCTGTCGGTACTGCGCATGCGCAGACGCTTCTCTCCTCCCGAATTTGGTTTCTGCGCACGCGCAGTGCCCACACCTGGTGTGGGCAAAGCGGGCTTCTTTGTAAACACTAGGTTAGTGTTTCTTTTCTTTTTATTGGTATGATATTATTGGTTAAACCTTTCACTGTACCTTCACTGTGCGTTATTGGTTTAATTAGTGATAGCGAACGCCAACAAAGAAAACTAGTTCCATGATGATGCATCCATGGTACAGCTTGATCGGCTCCACCGGAACGTAGCATTAGCTACGGTCAGAGTTCAAGTGAAACGCAGTATGGTGTTGAGAAGAAAACAAAAACGGTATTTTTGACGGAACTGACTGCAAATCAAGAAACTCGTTTTCAAATCGCACGGGACTGCCAGTGCCGGTCAGAAACCCGTCGTTCGAGACGCACGCTTACTTGCACTCTTCCTTCAGTTCTTCTCTGGTCTCGGGGACGCGGGTGACTGTGCCGAAAGGTACGTAGTCGGAGCCGCAGCCATGGAGCACGTCCAGACTGCAGCCGCTGATGTTCTTCAGGTGACCGCAGCAGGTACCTGAAAGAGATCGGTGCAAGCAAGTTAGGGCAAGACGGCACTTAAACGGTCTTCGGCCGGCGCTGCCAGTGAGACACGGACGCCTCTGGGCAGCTCTGCCGCCTAGATCAATTGAATCAGTCTGTAGCGACAGAAGATCTGGTATGGCCGGATCAGAGAGCGGTTCTCCTTACGGCCTTTGATGAAAGATGCAGTCGTTCTACTCGTACATCGTACAAGAAACACGGTACTTGCTGCAGACACACTAGGGAGTTTTAAGGAACCGTTTTTGCTCGCCCGACACTGGTGGGCACACCTGTACGCACTGCGCATGTGCGAATCTTCTGTGGCAGCGCATGCGCAGCTCATACTGGAGGGTCCATCGTACCGTATCGGAAGTGGAAAAACGATTCCCTAAAACTCTCCAATAGGGAGTTTTAGCAATCGGTTTTGCACATTCCAAACTGTACAATGGGCCCTCTGGTACCACTGATCTCAATGACAATTGCTGGATCGCGTTTGCCCGCTCTGGGAATGCGGTCACTGGCGGCCATCTTTAGGTAGAGTTATATTACCTCTAGCCAAGGTACAGCTCCTGCAGCCACTGTGATCCATCCATGGCAGACAGCGTTTTGGCAGGCGTGGTGGCGGGCTGCCGTCAAAATAGGGTGGATAATATTTTGTGCTTAATTGAAATCGTTTGACGAAACATGTTTTTGAAACCCAGCGTGAACGGAAGTGCGATCTTTGAGGATCCGGTGAAAGTTTCACGAAATCGCAGCACCGGGGGAAAAGCAGCACAGCTCGCATCGAAAGTCGCATCAAAATTAGCATCAAATGCAGACGCTGGTACGGAGTCTGCTTTCGATGCGAGCTGCGCTGCTTTCCCCTGGTGCTGCGCTTTCGTAGAACTTTCTCCGGGTCCTCAAAGATGAGGCTACTGTTCACGCCGGGTTTCAAGAATCTGCGTCGTCGAACAACTTGAATCAAGCACGAAATATCTCTCACGGTACAGTGTACTAGATCCACGGCTATTTTATGGCACCGGCCGCCATTGCGCTGTCCGCTATATTACTATGATGGCTAGAGATGATATAACTCTACCTAAAGATGGCCGCCAGTGACCGCATTTCGGTCCATAGGCGGAGCTGGTCAAACGCGATCCAGAAAATAGACATAGAGATCAGTGTCTGGTACGTACTGCGCATGCGCTGCCGCGAAAGACTCGCAGATGCACAGTTCGTGCCGGAGGGCTCGTCATACCGTACAGGACAAGCAAAATCGGCTCGCTAAAACTCCCTATTAGAGAGTTTTAGGGAATCGTTTTTCCCTATGCTTCGACCATGTCTGCAGACAGTTTGTGTAAGACCAATGCGTCGGGAGCGTTATGCAAAGGCAGTGCGACTTGGGCTTTAGAAGCGCAGGACGGGGGCTGTTATAATCACGCGTCTTGCTTTGTGATTCGTTCTTTTGGAGCGTTTTTGAAGCGTTTTTGGAGCGTTTTCGAAGCGCATTGTTTTTGTTTGTATCTCCTTGGGTGTACGAACGCGCGCTCGCGTCTACTGCGCTAAAGGCGCGAGCGTGGAGTGCTTTTGAATCACTCCAAGTCCTCCAATGAAATTCCAGACTAAACAATGGCGCAATCTCGTTCGATGCGGAGCTATATTGAGACCCTTGGGGACTCGCCCCGTCCTGCGTTTTGTAAGTTGTCAATGACCCCTAAAGCCGTGATCACACTGCTTATACATCATACAAAAGACAGTCTGCAAACACGAGTCACCGCGATATCCGTGGTTCGAATGCCGCGTGCCAAGTTTTTCCTTGAGCTCAATGTCATGTGGCATTCGAAGCAAGAACCTCCCGGTGACTCGCGTCCGAATCTGTATGGAGACTGTCTTTTGTATGATGTGTAAGCAAGCAGTGCGTCTCCGGCGTTAGTGTTCTTTGGCGCTTTCAACATTCTTTACGATGTACCACCAACTAGACCATATATTCCTCTTACTTTCGTCGCTGCACGGCCTTTGGACCTTGTGGTCATGAAAGGGGCCATGCAGCGGTATTCGGTTCAAATGTTGTTTTTTTTTGTTTGTTTTTTTTTTACACGAGCTTACTGTCACTGGTAAGCGACGCCCACTCACACTCAATGCCACTGACCAAGAAGGGGCGTAGTGCCGTGCAAAGCATATTGGGTACCGCTTGGCCAGTTTCGGTTTCAATTTGCCAACCTCACTTCACGACATCCCGACACGACCAGACACAGTGGTTGCATTTTCGAATATGTGACTTTTCTTATATTTATAACCCTGTAGGGTCTTGCGGTACCAATGTAAATAAAATGCTAAAACACGTTTCTTTTTTTTTGGGGGGGGGGGGGGGGGGCAGGGGGGGGGTGGGGGGGGGGGGGGGGGGGGTTTGGAGTAAACATGTAAGCATGACTACAAAGGGAAGTGCCTCATGCCCATTCGCTGCGATGACGGGAATAGGCGAACCTCAACAATGTGTGAAACTCAACACTCGAAGCACAGGACGGTCGTCCTGTGCTTTGCCGACCCCAATGCGTGGCTATGATAACTACTGGCAAACTATAATCAGCTCCAGATCACATGGCCGCTTGTTGTTACCGCAGGTTGAGAGGGGAACGCCGCTCGTTTTTCTCCAAATGACCCCGCGACTGCCACTGCGTCGACAAATAAAAACAAAATTGAGAAACTAACGCGTGTTTTATGAGTTATTATGGATGTCAAGGAATTATTCTAAGCGGTATTTACTGAAAGTGTCAAAATTGTTGCATCACCATTTAATTAGCTCGCCCTTCCCGCTAACCTATGCGGAAAGCAAGTCGTCTGCTTGTTGCGCAGGAGTGGCGGTGACGTCACAAGGACGCCGAGCTCTCATTGGTTTTGATTGAAATGGTAGTGGTTCGACCACAATGCTTGATGCCTTAAGGTCTACCTCCTATTAGGTTTTTTCAATCAGCCAATAAGAGCTCGGTGTTGGAACATAATCGCAGACGAAGCTGCGCTCCGCGTAGAGTGTTCCCAAGTGCTCTTCAGGAGGAAACAAAATTTTATAAGTAAGCCAATGAACGGAGTGCAATGAATCGTCCAGCAAATATCTCTTTCGGTGGTGCATTACTTATCATACTGAAATTTTTGTGAATGAAGGTTTTTGAAAACAAATGGCAAAAAAAGAGAAAAACTTATACTTTCCTGTGCAGCGTGATAAAAAAGCAAGAAAAAATAAAAAGAGAACCGTCTTGATGACGCTGCTACTTACAGATGGCAGCACACACACCCTGATCTGCTGTATCTGCTTTAAAGTGTTCATCTCTAGGAAGCTTTTAAGTTTTTGTACTAGTGGTGCCATACGTAAAAAGCAGCAGCATCAGCCCGAAGGTGTGCTGCTGCTGCAGAACACCAAACACAGAATATGTTTGAGGACTGAGATCTTGGAGTGTAATGTCACGGAGCGCAAGGGAAACCGTTAGGAGGTGTGTAGCACGTGCTTTAAAGAAGATTCTGTACACCAGAGTCGTAAATTGAGAAGAAATAAGAAAATTCCAAACGCGCCCCGACGCGAGTCAAACCCACGACCCCGTGATTGTAGGCTCGACATTCCACCACTGCGCCGATTAGTGGGCCAGACAAAAAGCTGGCTGGCTTTGTCCCTACTACGGTAGTTTCTGCTATTTATAAGATTATAAAAGTGATACAATCACAAAGGGGACATCGGAGATTTCAGGAAACAGCCTTTCCTCATATATCACTTCAGACTTTTACGGTATATGCATAAAAATAAACTCCTCACAATAAACAACAGAGAGCCTTTGTGCATACCCAATAAGAAACCCAAAGCGAAGGATGCCGACTATAAGAATGAACTATTGCCGAAAAACGTTACCTTTTCGAAAAACTGAAACTCTAACTAGAAAGGATTTCCCCATAGACAATTATAAAACTTTTCTTAGGTTTAAAAGTGATTGCGGAAGCTTCCTGGTTGGTTGGCAATGACGTTGCATTGTCATCTGGATAGTGTATTGCACCAAGAACAAAGTCAGAATATATAGCCAATTGCAAAGAGATATGTTTTCATTCTAATTTCACCTGATTTTGTTGTTGTTGATCAAATGTGGGGAGATATATATATGATTGCATTCTAGTTTTTGTTTACTAGTTGGAAGTTGCAACACACAAAGAGCCTTTTCTGACGTTTATTTATGGTATTTTTACCAATTGAATGAACGGTTGTTTACTCTCTCTTGTTGCTTTGAATTTTTTGTGTGTAATTTTTTGTAGAATTCTTAGCATGTAACTATCTTGAGCTGTCGAGCTTTAGGAAGCAAATGCTTTGTTAGGCACCACACCTTTATCTCTGCCCCCTACGCGCTATGCCCGCGAAACGAATAAAAAAACATTCCGAATGAGTACGCCGAACGTCTTTCGGACGCCAGCAATTGGCGTTAAGGCGTTCGCCGTTCGCTTTCGAAAGGTTTATGGGAAAGAAAACAATAGAATTTTGTATAAAAAAATAAACTGCAATGACCCCCACACTCTAAAAAAGTGGGTATCACCTTACATCCTTTTGTCCCATATAAAGCACCCCCAAACTTCAGTTCGACGTACAGCGCCCTATAGTCGAACAGACGGCCCCAAATTTTACGAGGGGCTTGATAACGGTGCGATATAACTTATTAAATATCTAAAGCACTTATCAAAGACAACAGAAAGAAAACACTGAGGTTTTGCAGCAGGGCCAGGAAAAGCCCGATTATTTTATCTGTTGTCAGTAACACGCACATTAGCTATTTTAATAAGTTGTACAACACGGCTATCAATCCTCTCGTGAAAGTTAGTTACGTCCTTTTGACGTCAGTTGGCTATACGTCGAACTGAAGTTTTGGAATGTCCTGTATGGGACAAAACATGTAAGAATGCACCCTTTTTTGTTTCTTTAGAGTGCACAAATCGCAAAGAATGCCGCGGAAATACAATTCATGTATACCGACATTTAGCCGTATACGATCTAGATAAATCACGCATTTTTTTTTGTTCCTACAATGTTCCCCAAAAACCTGCAATCAAAACATGTAAGCATGATAAACGCATTACTTAAAGTCCCCCTTGCGTAAAGTTTCAGTGCCCACCGTTCGCTGGCTTATTTACACGAATTAGTTTACACCCGAACTACTATCGAAAGCACTCTGTAGAAGAACAAAAGATGTTCAATTCCGGGCTCTCGCTCAACCGCTAGAGTTACTCTGAATCACACATGTGCACGCAACTGAAATAAAGTAAATAAGTTCTGTTGTTCTTGACTCACTCGAAATGTAACAAAGTACCTTACTCGTTACCCCGATTCGAAAGGACCGCGTTCATTCGGTTTGATTGTAAGGCGTTATTGTCTTGCTTCTCCAAATGGGTCCTTTTTATGAAGCCGTAAACACATCCAATATTTGTCGCTGTTCGTTGATAACTTCCCGCTTTTGAACGCTTTCATTTGTGGCTATACCTCTGTACACCTCTTTATATTCTATCTCGCGTTTTCTCGTCGTGAAAATTAAGGGCGCGAGCTGGTTTGAGAACTAGGTCGGGTATTTGTGTGGTACAAGTTCCCATCCATAAGCAACTAAACGCCTCACTCAATCATCAAAAAGTAAAAACAAAAAAAAAAATATGCTACTCGTTCCTTCTAAAAAAAATAACTAGGTAGCAACTTGGTTACCGAAAAAAAGTAACTGAACAAGAGTAACAGGTTACTTGTAACGCATTACGTACAAGTCTGCTCCAGAGAGAAGAATAGGAAAAACGCTCACCCAGTAGCGAAGCCAGGAACGCGGCGACGAGCAACCTCTTTCCGTCCATAATTGCGTCTTGGGAAAAGCACAGCACTCCGGACGACGTACGCTTCGATGAATGAGCGCGAACTCGGTTGTTATATTCTCACGAGGAAACAAGCAAGCGAAGGCTGCGACAAAAGGAAGAAGACAACCCGCTCACCTTGAGCTGTGACGCCCGTCATGACTTTGGTTTCGTCGCAAGTCACGTGTCCGGCACCTCGTCGTCGACGACGACAACGAGCGGTCCCGGTGACCGCCGATACCTGACCCCGTTTGGTGCAGAGAAATCGGGTTCCACGCTCTTTGCGCGCCGGCGGTTTCCGGGGCGGCCCGGTCGGCTTCGTCTCAAACTGTGACGAACCGCAGCAACGGCTGACGGGCCGCCAGGTCCAATCACCATCCTGTTAGAAGTCACGTGGCGTGTTTGTCCGATGTGCGCATCGAAGCGTGGCACACTGCTATGCGCGTTTTGGGGCTATATATCGCGAGGATTTTTAGCTAGACTCCGATTAGATCTCGAGAGCCCTTAGCTTCGGTTCCGGTCCGTTGTAGTGTGAGACGATGTGTGGTAGGGCTGGTTCGTGTTTTGCAGCGATCCCGTCGGCGACATATACGCACGCCGGGAGATGTGTGGCGTAGATTGCACTGGCGAGATTAGTGTTGCGATATACGGAAAATGAGACGAGCTACAAAAGGAGGAAGTTACGTAACTTTTTCTTTTCTAACGGGTAATTAAGCCCCCCCCCCCCCCCCCCTTTTTTTTTTTCTTCTTTTATATAAGCTGTTAATCGATCAATGTTTGCTTATTATTCCCCCGAACAGCTTGCCCGCCTTAGGAGAGGTGTACATACTGCCTAAGCCTCATTGACACTCTACATTTATCATGGATGGATGAATGGATGGATGGGAATGGCGACACTCTTTGTAACGGGCGGCAGCTTGCGCCACCTAGCCTACCATTTCGTCATCTCTTCTTTTTTTTTTAAATTGGTATAAATTTTATACTAACACAACCCTCCCTCCCTTTAAAGTGTTTCCATTGCTTATTTTTATCTCTCTTTTCACCTCTCCCTAGATCTTTCGTACAAAAGATCTAGATCATACAAAATACAAGGTTGTCGTTGCGGAAATAATGAAAAAAGCATCGGCGGAAACGCCTCAGGCATGTTCCAAGCATGTTTGCTTCCTACAAGTGTATGCTACAAACATGTCTGCAGAAAGTTTCTCTAGAACCAATCTGACAGGACAGTCGTGTACAAGCAAGAAAGACGCCGAAGTCTGAGTCTCAGCCGTGTTCCTGCCTTTCGTCTGCAGGCACGCCTCAGACAGTATAGGAGACAATTTTCTTTTTGTCTGCAAACTGCCACAAGGCAGTCTGCAGTGAATGTCTGCTTACTGCATGTAGTATGATGTACTAGCAGTGTGACTGCGGCTTATGAAAGTGTTAAAGATGGGATTCACACATTTGTGTCGGTTGCATTCCTATAGACCTTTTCATCCTCCTTCGCATGGGCGCTGCCATCTTGGAATCACGTGACGCGGCAGCCATTAGGTTGCTTCAACTTGCTGCTCCGCTCTCCCCTCCGTGCCTTGGCGGATGCGTTGTATTCGTGTTTTTCGTCGCGTTTCACCGCGCTTGCTTGCCTTACTTCGGAAACTGTAGTCCGATACGTCTACTCGACGACTCCTGAGGTTTGTTTACTAATAGTGGCGGAACATTCTCAGTAAGAAGCGCCTATATTTATATCGCGCATTTAGGATCGCAAGGTGTCAAGAATAGTCAGCACAAGGAGACCATTTGTATTCCCTGAAAGTATCGTTCTTTGTAATCATAATATATCGATAAAAGTTTCTTTTGATTATGTGAGGAAACTCGCGGAGGAGATAGACAACGAACGTTTAACTTGTATTTTATCTGAGGCTAAATGTAATGGTACGTCAACATCACGCGATTTGTTTGTTCATAATATCACACGTATACATGTGTATGAAATTCTGAATATCTTTTTTTTTTTTTTGCGACGTAGTCATTCGGTTGGTCGGTTTACTTATGAAGTTTAAGAAATTGTATACCTTGCTCGCTCCCATTTCGACAGACGTTTAAATGATTTATTGATTACATTTAGATAACCAATGCCCTCCACTTAATTTACTTAACACAAAGGTTGGGACCTCCCGCGTAAGAAACTGTCACATACACTTTACAGTAGCGAGTTTTAGAATAGCGTGCACAAAAAAATAACGTCGTTTCTATTTGCAAATCCAAAACGCGGTTCGTGTTCGGCGCATGCGCATAATGACAACGCTTTTTTTCTTTGATAACGTTGTTTTATCTTTTGCCAGTATCTAATATCCGCAATAATTGACGCCCCCCCCCCCCCCCCCCCTCAAAAAAAAAAAAAAGAAGAGGCGTCTGCTTAACAGCTATTTGAGTCCAGGATTGTCGATGGCGAATAGAGGTTTACTTTTTGTGGCTGGCTACGCCGAAATTTATAAAGCGAATTTGTTCTAAAAAATAAATATTTGTTCACTCAGGTCCGTGAAGTGGTGCCTAGCGCTAGAATTCAGCCAAACTTTCCGAGGTATTTTTAATTTTACTTGGCCAATTTTACGGAAGACAAATGCAAGATTTAATTTGACGGGCCTGTCACTCATATCATATCCTGAGTAAGCAAATGTTCATATTAAAAGAAATGTATTTCCTAGGGCAAATATCGCGAAATGCTGCTGATGAGTACTTTAGCAGGATTGATAATTGAAGAAATTTCCTACTCAGCCTGTCAAAACATGCTCGAGTACTAAATTGAAAAAGAGGCCGGGACTATATTATATGTTTATATCAATTATCTGCGTCATTACACGATACGTTTTTATTCTGCGAAGTTCACTAAAGGTTGGGTGCCCACGAAAACCAAACAGTGAGCTGTAAACTCACGAGTTCATCTGTTCTGGCCGATTCAGAACGTTGCTAATCAAGCTCTCGATATGCTTCCCCGCTTTACATTTACATTTTACTCTCTTCATTAGTTTGTTTTTCTGGAAACTGGTGTCATTGGGTACGGCCATACACGATGGTATTCTTCCCTGTACATCAGTCAGGCGTTTCGCAACCGACCATAATCAGATACATCAAAGGAGTTGGTAAAGAAAGCCCACAATTTAAGCTAAAATACACCTCGTAGTCATCAAAGTGCTCAATACTACTGTTTCATTGGTTGCGTGCTACCAGAAAAATAATCGTATCACAAAGTTAAGCAAAAACAACGTAAAACAGCAACATAGCCGCGTTCACGTTGAAACCGAAACCAACCAAATTGAAGCAACCTAATGGCGCCGAGTGCGTCAGCGCCCTCTGTCCGCCGGTGACACAACTACTAAAATGAAAAGGTCTATTCGCGTCGAGAAGTTTGGGTACCGCCGCCTGGAGGAATTTTGTTGACAGCTTAGGGTGAGGATTCTTCAACTTGCTTTGCTGGTGAACGCCTGTGCAACGCCAAGGTTCTATTCGCTTTTGGAAATTAAAACATAACCGCGTGGGTGGCACGTCCACTACCATAGCCTCCTCTATATACTGACAAAGCCTGGCAGATCGCCATGAGACGCGGCCGCCGAAAGTGAAAAGGTAGAAGAGCGTGCAGACAGCGGATGAGAGAAGAGTGATGTAACGGGCGCCCCGCTGCGGCGAGATGCCAAAACACACTTCTCCCGAGCGATGGAATGTCCGCTCGCGCTCCTTTCGTTCCTCGCACTACCGCTTTTTTTTTTCTCGTCCGGCTTGAAAAGCATGTTTCGGGTCCTCGCCTCTGCAAAAGCTGTGCGCTGAATACCAGGTTCCCCGAGAAATGCTCTCTGCTACGAGATCCTCACGCACCAAATCTGCAACCGGGCACTCTATGGCTCCGTCGTTGAACTGACAGGCTTTGTGAGTGAGGAGGCTATGGCACTGCCTATAGTGATGAATGAAGCATGGCAGTGCCCCTCGCGAGCTTCTCACCGGGAATATCAGTTGGCCGAAACCACTGCCACGACCGGGGCACCGGGAGAACCGGGACTCACGATTGCTTCGCGTGCTCTTTGCATTTCTTGCCACGCTGTACACGCTGAGCGCTCCTCCAAGTGGCTTTGTCGCTGCTGTCGTTTGGGACGTTCCGAAGCGTGAGTCACCCATCTGTTTCGACTAAGTTCGTAGCAACCGAAACGACAGCAACGACAAAGTCACTGGGGCGAGTGTTCGCCGTTGACAACGTAGCAACCAAGGAAAGAAGTCGCTTCGCGAAGCAATCGCAAGTCACTGTTGTTGCGCTGTTCTGGTCGTTTCTGTCGCTTTGATTGTTGTGAACGTAACTGTTGTAAATCCGTGAACCCGCACACAGGGAAAGACTTAAACCAAACCGACGCAACTGTCGGAACCAGGCTATCGATCTCACCAGCCATCTTCTTTACGCCGCCGCTGCTGCGAAGCATCGTGGGAACTTCTGTCACTGCGCGTGCAACATCCTCACTGGAGCTCTGCGCGAGCAGAGCACGAGACGATAAGAGCAGTCTCGTGCATTACCATGGGCCTTCTGTGAACTACTCTACGTCGGCGTCATGTACCCTTGGAACGCTTCGTGAGATTGGTCAGCTCCTTGCGCCTCGTATCGCAAGACTATTTCTTTGCAGTCTTGCTGTATCTTCACAATCATTATCTTAAAAAAGACACTCGCGATTGCGACCATATAAAAAAAGAAAAAGTACAAGCACCCACACCGTCTCAAAACACAGTATTCAATAGAGAGTTCTAATGAAATGCTCGATTCTTAATTCTACCACGAAAACCTTTCTTCTGAATTTCGTAGCAATGGACCTTTTCCACATACCGACGGCACCAGGCGGTGGCTGCACGAACTAAAAATCGAGGAAGTGACCTACCTGCGCTACCAATCGATATAGGGAGCTAAGCTACCAGTTTCTTCGCTCTCTGAGCAGTGGCGCCTGCCCAACGCGACTTTAAAGAGAGGCATCCGTAGAGTCCACCCAAACGTC